GGTCAGAGGGAATATCAAATTGAGGACCTTCAACACAGCATTGTTAGAGAGTTCGGAAGATTGAGGAGGAGGGAAATTAATCGTGTAGTGAATAATATTTGAAGAAAGGCACAGTTGTGTTATCATGAACAAGTGCAGAATTTTGAGCATTTACTGTGATTTACTTTTGTCTTTACATATTAGTTAATTATTGTTATTTGTTCAAAGTTCTATTTTTATTGAAAAGGACACAGTGTCTAATTTACCTCATACACACCTCATTTATCAAACTTTTATTGTTGTTTCCGTACGTATTTTTTCATTGGCTTTTCAAAGGGACCAAACTTGGTGAGATTTTGATTCAATAACAATGTCTTAACACTGTTTCTATCATATTTGTGATAAATTTATGTCATATCTCTTTTTTCTTCATTCTTGAAAGTAATTTTTCGCCAAAAATGCAATGAATTATACAATAACAAAATGTCATTGAGTGTAACAAATTAAAATTGAAGTTTAAAAACATCAAAGTCAAAGCCTATATGATAAATTTTTTTTTTCAATATCTCCAATTTTTCGAAAAAGAATGATAACTTATGATACATCATTGAAAAGGTAAAATCTGGATCTATTCAAGACAGAAAGAATTCAACGTAGCTCCCATAAGAAGAAATAAAGTTGATGATGATGGCCGGAAGACGAAACGTCGGATAGCAAATCTGAAAACACCATTATGTAGCAGGGAAAACGTGGCAATATGGAAGTGCAATTTATTTTCTGATCCTTTGAAAAATAAAACCATAAAAAATGAAAACCAAAGGGATATTGTTAGTCAGGTAAATGCGCAACTTTGCCCCAATTTAACCATCTTCGTATCTCTCATAGTTTCCGAGCTCCCAATGGAGAGGATCGAATTTGAAACACCCTGTATATTCCTCAATGTTATGAAAATAGTTTTGGGAGAATAAACGCAATAAGCCCAAGAGGCTGCAGTGTTTTCTGGAGACTTGGACTAAATGGACAAGTCAGACAGCTCCCAAGATACAAAAAAAACCTTTGCAATTCCAGCGACATGACTGTGTCAAGACATATGGATGTCCATTTTAACCCCTTAACAAACTTATCAAAGCAGATATCGAAATTGTTTGTCCTGACATTATTATACGTCTCAGCGCAATTGTCCTTCTTGTAGAGTAAATATTATGGTACTTTCCGACAAAAAATTATTCACTCACACTATTGAATAGACGATTTGGCACAGAAAAGTTGGTTTGAGAAGAAAAACATGTGATGATGAACGCGAGAATAAACGTGAAAGAATCAGTTGCCAATGAAATTCCTGACAAGAATGTCGAGACAAGAGGCTAGATGTTATGGAAAAGTTCGAAAGTATTTGATATACTATAAATACAATCAGGTTTTACAGTCAACTTCAGTGTTGGATAGAGCAGGGGTATACAAATTGTATTGTGATTCTTGCAGAAAACTTTGTATTGGCCAAACATAGAGGTCCTCATCCCATAGAATAAAAGACCATAGGAGTAATTTGTTGAGCAATTCCACATTTGCAAAACATCTTATGTGAGAGGAGCATGACTTCAGTAACATTTAAATAAAATGGTTAATCAACAGGATAATATTTGGTGATTAAATTAGGTCTTTCACAAGTTAAAGATCCTGCCACGTCAATACAATGAAGAAAAAAGATATATATCCGAAAAAAAGAGAAGAAGAAGTTTTATAGTTCTTGACATTTGGTGTCATTCAAATTTACGCTTTCAATGTTTTAGTCAAGTTTTGTCAGAGAGTATAGGTTAACACGTGTTTCAACTTGTTATGTGAAATATTGTGAAAGAATGTAAATTTGTAAAGCTCTCGACTATTAACGAATAGAAGATTAGTGGTAACTAACGTATTTTTTTGTTGATGTTTGTTCGTATATCCATAGTTTCTTAGTGAGTTTTCAAAAATGTCTTCAGCTTCTCAAAGGTCTACACGAACGGTACGAACTCCTTCATCAATTCTCAAAAAGCCCAGGAGCATCAAAAGTAGGCCGTGAATAGATGTATCACAAAAAAGGAATGAACTCTCTACATGAACCTTTAGAATCAGTTGATTGGAAATTCCCTCATGGTGAAAACAGCAACATAAATAAAATAGAAGAATTTATCAATATGACTTATAGTTCTCTTGAAAATCAAGTTTTTCATTTGAAACGAATCAATACCAAGGACAAAAGACATTTTTCAAAGAAGAATTGAAACGAATAAGAGAAAATCTCGAGGCGTTAAATACTATAAGAGTTGCAAGTGGAAGGCCTGAACACTATGATGCATTTGAAGTTCACAAAAAACAATACCAGAGCGCTATAAAAAATGCCAAAAGAATTTCAGATGATAATTTCGTTAATGGATCAAGTAACACATCCAAGGATGCTGGGAAGGTAATTAACTATGATCGAAATTTAAATAAAAAACGTTCAGCCTCAAGCAGCATTTTTCCTGATGAATATAACTTTATTTTTCACAAATGGAACTGAACAAATTGTAAAATCTCTACCCTCCTGCAACATTAATGCTCCAACCTACCTTTTTACATTCCCCAAACCTAGCACTTCTATATTCCTCAGTCCAGTTACTGAAGTTGAAGTTAAACGAGCAATAATTAAACAAATCTGCTTGTTTGGACATACAACTTAAGCAGTAAAATGATTAAAGAAACCATACATCTTGTATCTGGTCCATTGACTGTTCTTTTCAACCATTGCCTCTGTGAAGGACTATTTCTAGACATCTTTAAAACAAGTAAAGTACATACTACTGATGGCATTAATTTTTTTATTTTCTTCCAATTTATTTATATATAGCAACTGAATTGTTATTTTTAACTTTTCTAAAAGAATATTAATTTTGATAATTATTTTTTTATTTATTAACGGTCTTGCCATTATACAATGAACATATAAATAGTGTGATTGAAAAAATAAACAATTGAATAATAATATAGGATATCAAAAAACAAATATCAATTAGTTAATAATAATAATAAGTAGTTTCTTCATAGTAGGTTAATACGTGTAACCTGATTTTTAAAATAGTACAAGGATGAGTCAAACAAATGAATAAAGCTGCTATTCTTATTTGCTAACCTAAACATTCTAGTGATGGTTTCATTTAAGCCATAGCTAGTAGAATGGTAAGGAACTTAAAACAACTCCGACACTCTGGTTCTTCTTGAATTTACATTGAAGTTAATCATTTGTGTTACAAATGGACAGCTCATATCACCATTTATAACTTTACTAGTTGTTGCCTACGGCTTCGCCCCCTTAGAATTTGCTAGTTGTAGTACTATGTTGCTGTATCGCTGCTGTTCCAATGTTTTGACAGAATCAACGAACTTAGGCGTGCGCAGCGTTATAGAACAGTGCTTTCAAAAAATTGTTCTGCAGCGCCATCTTGTGGCGAGTTATAGAAAAACTGATAGCCTAAAAACTTTCTCTATGAAAAATTATTCATGCATGTCAAGTTTCATCACGATCGGTTGAGCGATGTAGAAGTTTATCAGTTACCTACCAACCAACAAACATCCATTTTTATATATCAGATGAAGAAGTCTTAAATCAATTTCAGCTCGGCGGTACTCCAAAGTAGATAAATTCAGAAGAAGCAGAATGTCTGAGTATTCATAGTCGGACCTCAGATATCCGAGCTTAAATGCACATGATCTCAGAAATTTGTTTTGTACTTTCTCAATCATAGATATATCTGTCTGATATAGAGGACTCCATATCACAGAATTATTTTCCAAGACCGAGCGTACCAAAGAACAGTACAATATTTCAAAGGTATTTATAGAAAATGTATCTGCGGATCGTTGAACAAATCCCAATAATTTGGGTGATTTAGATATAACTAGCTGACCCTGTGAACTTCGTTCCGCCTTAGAGGCAATAAAATAGCACATTCTTTATTTCATTAATTCAATTTTTTTATTAATTAAGTCGTGATACACGACATTTTTTGTTTTATTATCAGGCGCAAGTATAAACAACGCAGATGGTCTTCCGACCCGTGAACATGCCACATATATTTGACCTTGTGAAAAACATTGATTTTCCAGATTCAGACCACAAACTTCCAATATGACCTTTGAAGGTTACTTTGCTATCAAACAACACTCCCAAGTCCCAAATGATGTTAGTCAACGTTAGAATAATGTTTTTGATTTTATATGGATATACAATAGGTTTCACAGCTCTTGAAAATGTTATTTGACAACATTTATTTATATTTAAATGAAGCATGTTTTCATCACACTGACGAGATAAGTTATTTACATCTATCTGTAACAGTTCTGCATCATAAAAGTTATCTACAACCCTGTAAAGTTTGAGATCATCTGCAAACATTGAATAATAGCTGTGGTGTATGACATCCAACACATCGTTTACAAAAAGAATGAAGAGTATTGGGCCTATATGCTATCCTTGAGGGACGCCAGAAGTTACAGGAATTTGTGATGATGTGGAACCGGCATATTTAACATACTGAATTCTATTATCCAAATAACTCTTTATCCATTTTGACATGCTATCATTGATGCCCAATGCTAGGAGCTTAGGCATGAGAAGATCATGATTTATGTGGAATGTGAATAAATAACTTTTCGTGTGTTTTATACTTGCTTACTGAAACATCGCACAAAACTTGTATAACTTTAAAAAGATTTCAAAAAAATTCAATAATGTCTTAGTTTACAAGTGTTTGGGAACATGTGACATCATAGCGATAGCATAGGAAGTATTGGCGTTTTGAAGGTATACTGAAAATTATTGAACAAACAATGTGAATATACAGATCATTAATTATTTGTGGCAATTACAATGTTTCAGACACGTACAAGGAGCTCGACAAACAAGGACAGACTCCTGGTAGATCATTGTTTTGAAAATGATAAGACTGATACACATAGCATATATACATATAAGAAATTTTTATAAATTGAATATGTAATCATACCTATACTTTCAGTGTAGTCACCTTCATGGGTGTGTCTGAATTTATACAGATGGTACCTTCCGCTAGTACTAGGAACTTTTGATGGAAGCTTTTCTAAGACTATATTTTCGGCAGTAACCAAATGGATCCGTTCTTCCTCAATATCTGTAGAAGGTAGATGATGAAGTTGAAAATCTCATGTACAAATTTTCTATATGCAAGATTCGTGCTGATATAATAATAATAATAATAACATTTGAAGTTCCAAATGCCAATAGTCTTTATCAAAGAGAAGATATAGCAGTATATAACTTCACAGAATATTATAATATATATTAGCTTACAAAAACGAACTGACTACTGTTGTTCTTACCAATCTTGAACTGTATGTAATCATAGGACCCTCTGGCCATATCTAGAATAGCTTGTTTTGCTGGCTCGGTTATAGGAAAGGCAACACCACTCAATGTATGATGTTTAGTATCAATACTTATATCAGTATTGACTTCAGTTCGTCTTATTTCTTGTAATTCTTCTTCCCTCATTGACAATGGTGCTGGGGCCGCTGCAGATTTCTTGTATTTTATATAACCGTAAAGGGTTATATCACTCTGCAATTATGTGAAATTATAACTTCATAGTTGGTAAAATATGAATTATTATAGAAACGAAATTAATAAACTATTCGAGGTGGGGGCTTTACTTTTTGATAATATATTATTTCAACACATTTTATTACAATATTTAATTGATTCTGCTTCTGAAATATTTTTTTTCAACTGGATTCCATGTTCCCAGAACATTTTAGCTTCATGAATGAGAAAGTAAACTTTGCGAAAATAAAAACTCAAAGTTGTCTCCACAATTTATTATCACCTTCAGATATTAGAACGGTAAAACCATCAATCAGTACATGTTTGGAACCTATATAGGTTCATCATCAGAATCATCATCAAAATTTCAAATAATTAGCTCCTGTCACATCCTAATCTGTAGTATTTGTAGTGTTCTCATTTTATTTAAATCACTTGTGTATAGAAGAATGGTACAATATTCGAAATGTGGTTGTATAATGGTCTTATATACAGTTATCTGAGATTGCATGGTTAAGTGTTGGGACACTGTTGTCTGTTTTTTCGTTAAACAACTGTCGTCCCTATATGAACAACAACTCTCAGAAGTTGAGAAACTTGTGCGAGCTAAGGACTAACGAGGTCTTACCTTTTAACGTGTGATTCCTAACACTCTTGTGAAAATTATAACTTCTTCAAAATTGTTTTCTGAAGTGAAATGGTTATTCATTGATAGATGCTTGTCCAACATGAATCCTAGATATGTGAATTCACTAATGAGCTCAATTTTGTCATTTTCTATTTTTATTTCAATTTGATTTAAATCTAATTCTCTGTACTTAAACGGTGTAGTAAGTATCATAGCCTTATACTCGATACATTAAGTTTCACACATATGTATCTTGTTTTTTGCAATTTTATTATGTTGTTATGTTATTAATAAACTGCCAAATAATATAAAAAATCTTCTTTTATCCGTCTATTCAAGAGGGACTTGATAACATTTATATAAACAAATTGAAATAAAGGTAGTTTACATTCAAAATACATTAATAACTAAGAATTTGTTCTGAATAAATATGTAAAAGTATATCCTACATAAAATATGTGTATTATAGTTTTTTTGTGATTTTTTTTGTAATTTTCTGTTTTTTTGTTGAAAATAGAATAATTTATTTTGATTTGATTTTATATTGTGTAGATAAGTACATTAATTATGTTTATATTAGGCTTGCCTATCAGGAAATAAAGTTCTTCTAAGTTGAACAGATAGTTGCTGCAACTACCCCAAAATGAAATCCCATAAAGTGTGTTTCAAATACAGAGTGACAACACTATTTTAGTAGTAGAATACGCTAATTCTATTGATATTATTTTAACTGCATAGCAACCAGAAGACATCTTTTTTAAGTTTTGTTAAATATTCATCGAATTTGAGTTTACTGTCAATACGGATTCCTAAAGATTTAGTACAGGTTTTATTTTTTTATTATTTCCGAATTATTTGTCAAATTGTAAAGAGCATTTGAATAGTGAATTGTTTTTTTCGGTATTAAAGGAATAACAATTCAATTCACACCAGTTGCATACTTTTCTCATATCTTCATTAACACATTTTTTTCAAATCTTCATTGTTGGGACTACCTTAAGTATTAACAAATATTTCGAAACATTTCTCAAAACTTGATCTTTCGGATAGCCTTTAATTCTTTTAGTGATGCGCTTTCAATGTCATATATGCTTGTAAAACCCTTTAAGAATATCTTTATTTATGGAAATGGAAAAAATCACATGGAGCCATGTCTGGCGAATATGAAGGCTGGGGCATCAATAAAGCATTGTTTTTGGCAAAAAATTCCCAAACAAACAATGAAGTGTGAGCAGATACATTATCAAGGTGCAAAAGCCATGAATTGTTTTTCCAAAAATCAAGGCGTTTTTTCGGGAATATCTCACGTGAATGGCATTGAACTTGAAGGTTGACAGTTTGATCTCGTGGCGGGAATTGATGATGCTTAATGCCATTGAAATTGAAGAACACAGTGAGCATAACCTTTATGGTGTTTCATTTAAAAGGCTTAATTGACAAGTTTTATTCATTTGCAGAAATAAACAGAGAAGTAAGTGAAATTTTCAATATTGGGCAACAAAATTGTCATTTTGTAACTTTTACCTTTTGTAACATTGCCAACAAGTAGTAACAAAATCTTTAGTGAAGTGATGATATCAGAATGTGTTTACTAGTTTTTCATTCAGAGAATATATTTGAAATGGGTGAATAAAGGTCCTTAGCATGCCGAAGGTATTAGCAGAAATAATTTTCTGAGTTTTGAATTTTTAGTGGCCTTATCTGCAAAAGTAAATGTAGGGCTATCAAAAGGGTTGTTCGAGAGTCAAAGCAGAATTTTTTTGACAAGCTGAATACATATTTATATTTGATGTTTTCACTAGGTACCGAGTTTGTTTGAATTCTCCACATTCAATACTTACAATGGTTGTGCCATGCAATTCTTCCTTGATCTGAGAGGTCCCAAACTCCTGTTTCAATGTCGCCTTGGTGGAAGCATACAACATCTTTTGTCTAATAGAAGCGGTGTCTGGGGACCAGCTTATAAACAACCATTCATATCCTGAAGAGTTTTTATTATCCAACCTGAAATCATGATGATGAAATAAAAAAATTCAGTTTCATTTCATTTTTCATACCTATACAGTAAGTAACAGGGTTGGTTTTCTTCAATCAATTGTGATATACATGCATCAAAGTCCTTTTCCCAATTATGTTTCACATTCTTGTGATTATCAAGAACTAATTGTTCTGAAATAAAATAATGTATGGAAATCATTCAATTTCATTTCCATGTAAGTATACTGTTCTACCTTCTTTGATTGCTACTTTAATAACCCTTGTTTTGCCTTCCTTGGATTTTGCAAAAAATTTTCGCAGTTCCTCATTAGCTGAAAATTAAAAAAAATATATAAATAGCCTTTCAAAAACTTTCCTGCACTCACCTTTTATTCCTGTTTGGTGAGACATTATTAAAGTCTACCCTGTTTAATTTCTATTCGAATAATTAAAAATGAATTTTATTTATTTTCTTAAATGAACAATTCAGGATGACGTCGTCTAGACAACTCGAGAATTGTCTATTTGTGTCACTTTCACCTCCGATTCTGAAAATCCACTAAGAAAAATCAACTAATCAACATGACATTTCAAAACAGAACCAGCGTTGTCAGATGGAAAATATTTTTAATACTTTAGATACGTTCCAAAAGTAGTGGTTCGGTGGTTCTAAGGATATGTTCCGAATATAACCACTTCTTCAATCAATCAAAAATTTATTTTATTGTCGAGGGAAAAAACTCTTGTTAGCAAAACATGGTTTACATGTACAATACAATAGAATATGCCTATTAGTTTATCAGTGTTCCATGTAAAATGGTTAAAACTTTGCAGTTGATGAAATCACAAGTAAATATAGAAGGCTGATAATTTGATCTTAGGTACATGCTGAAAGCTAAAACTACAGCAAGCTCAAGATATTGTCGCTATAATATTTCTGCAGGATGTAGTTTCCTTTAGTTAATAATTTTCTTTTAACGGTTTTTCTAAAGATTGTCGGGCTTGAGATATTTTTTATTTGAATCACCAGATGATTGGAGAGTTTTTTACTCTCAAACTTGAGAGAATTTTTGGTTGAAGTCTTTCTTGGTATCAACCAGATTATTTGGGCAGCGGTTACCTGAAAAATACATTACTTTTGAAACAAAACACTTGTGCCAATTGTCAACAGAGAAGAGTTAAATGTTTTTTCTAAGTTGAAACTGAAATTCCTATACTGTAACCATTAATTTTCCGATTGATCAATCTCATTGAAGTAAGAATGCTGCTTCTAGACACGTTTTTTGCTAACCCAATTTACATCATCAGGGGATTATTTCTCCTAATAATAACAAGTAGGTTTATTCAGCGATATGAAATGCACATGAAGCAGTGAACTACATAATGGACCATATCGGATAAGAATTTATCACAAAGAGATATCGCAATACTCATCGTGAAATCCCGAGTACATTTGTGAATTATGTTGGTTGGGAGTAGTCATCTGTTGTAACAGATTCTGAATCCTGGATCTTTGGTTGTCATGTCGATTGTTCACAACGTTACTTCATCTAAAGGCTAGTTCTCTGCAAGTGACAGATTTCATAATTATATCTCAAAACTAGAAAGTACTTAGGTATTCATTGATATCTTTATATATTGGATAAATCCAGAGTAAGCATATTAGCCTTGGATCAAATAAAACATGTGCGTGAAAATTTGATCCATATTTGAGAAATAAGAGCTACACGTCAGACATTTAGTTGTATGAGACAAAGTGAAAGGCAGTTGTGTCTTTGGAAAACATGACGTAATTTGAAAATTTTGTAATACTATAATATAATATTTTTATAATTTCAAGCGTGCAAATTGGTATTTATTTAACTATGATGTATTATTTCGTTTTCAGTATTGTGCTCATTCGAGTGAAATAGGAAAGTTAAAAGATAACTGTGATAAACCTCAATCATATTTCTTTTTTTTTCTTTTCTATTACAATGTCCATACTTATGCTACACAAACTGATTTTTGTGCCGCGACTATGAATGGATCTTTTACCGAATTGCAGCTATTACACAATTTAGAAGTGTCTCGTGAAAGTTGCAGCTTGGCTCGTGTTCAGCACTATGGGAGGGTAACCTCATGACAGCTATATTACTGGTTGATGAATTGTTATTTATAACAGTGTAAAAGTTTCAGGAAAAGGTAGACGGATCATACTGATGATTTTTTTTCATTTCCCACTTCAAACTCGGATTTGTTTTACTTCAACTTAGAATATTGGGAATTGTTGATAAGCTTATTTGGTTATAATGAAGAAAACGTCCTAATTCTGAGTTCATAGTCGAAATTTCTAAATTACATTTGGAAAGTGAAGTTACAGTATTATTCCTTTCAAACCAAACACCATTATTTCAGTTAATAATTATTATCAAACATTTACTTCAAAAACAAAATGTTTTTTGGAAAAATAAACAGACATGGTACCTTATCGACCCATTATATCTATGTCAAACTCATAAAGCCAACATATATGAAGACAACGTTATACCAGCTTTCAGCTATAACTACAACACGTATATTCGGGAAATAGATGTAGTTAACATTGAGGTAAAAAAATACGACCCATCAAGTAATAGCAATTTTTTAGTGGCACAGAAAATACCGAACAGAATATAACTTTGTTTTTACAGATGCTTCAAAATTAGATAATAAAGTGGGAATGCCTCAAATAGATTTTGCATTTTCAGCTAGGTTACATGATCAAATGAATATTTGCGATGCAGAAATAATTTCAATCTATAAAGGGATAACAACTTGTAAATCCAATAATATTGAGAAAAACTTTATATTTACTGATTCTAAAATAGGGCAGCACGTAACAACATTACTTTCAAATCTGCTTGGATACCTGAACATGATAATATTGGAGGCAACGAACAAGCGGAAACGTTGGCGAAAATTGATACTTCTCTGAATGTCCCATTGGATATGAAAATAGATAAAAATAATTTCATTCCCTACCTGGATTCCATATTTTAGAATCCACTCGAAATTTCCAATGACACCATGGACCTAAGCTAAACAATCTCCGTGGAAAGTTTCTTCAATGGAAAGAAGAAATTTTACAAGTCTTGTACGCATGAAAACAGATCATTATATGATTAAAGAACATAAACCCTAAAACACATTTCTCTAGAATGTCCGATTACTACTACTCCCGAGAATAATATATCCTATATATTCAATTTATACAGAAAAGAATACCAGCTTCTCTGAACATGTGTACAGTCCTGGGAAGATTAAATATTAGCAAAATAAAAGTTATATGCAAATTCATGGAGTATAGCCACATTGAATCAAAATAGCTGGGACACCCATACCTCATCTCAATTTTTTTCTTTTCTATCCTACATTACCTTTGTATGTATTCTTTGTCCGGTGAATACCTACCAGCAAGTGAAGATAGAATGCAGATACCCAAGCCAAAAGCTCCAATTACGCAACAATTATTCAATTCACATGGACTAAATGTATATCAACAGGAAGTAAACAATGCTGTTTTACAGGTCCAGATGATGAATAACATGCGAGAGATTCAACAGATGGGAGATCAAACACAGATACCGGATAAAATAAATGAGTGGCAAGTAAATAAACGGAAGACGGGGCGATTTGTTGTAGGTCGCAATAAGAAGAATATCAATCAAATTCAAGCTGTCCCAAAATTTTTATGTCACCAGACTGACACCTGGCACTAAGCCCGAACAACTGAAGGCTTTTCTGGAGCCGAATTTCCCAGGAGTCCAATGTGAAGAGCATTCTTCGAAATACCCCGAATACTATGCATCAATGAAAGTGATTATAAAGTCAAGGACGCCTAGAAACGAAGAGTTTGGCCAAATGGAGCGGTTATCTCGAAGTTTTTACACAAAAAGAAGATGCCACCAGCAGAAGAGGATCCTCAGTCACAAGACCTCTACAATCAACTGACGACGTAAATAGAGTTTTCAGTTCTACAAAAGACATGCACATAAAAATTTGTGAAGAAAAAAACCGAAAAACTACGAAAGTAAACCAGCTGTGAACAAATCGTTAAAAATCAGTCATATCAATGTACCATGTATATCGAATAAAATCGAACAACTTAAGCTGTACTTACAGATGAATCATTTTGATATTTTGTGCATTAGTGAACACTGGATAAACACAGATTGTTTAAAGTTACTGAATTTTAATAATTATGTTTTAAAGTTTTATTTCTGTAGAGAAAATATGAAACAAGGTGGAGTAGCAATTTTGGCGCATGATAATGTTAAGTGTTTTCGTCTGTCTTTGGAACATTTCTGTGTTGAACAGTTCTTATATAAACAGTTCTTATTATATCTTATAGATCTTCATTGTCTAGGGAATTTGAGTTATATTTTAACAAAGTTGAAGAACTCTCAACTTCAATAATAGTGTTCAGCCTCAAGCAGCATTTTCCCTGATGAATGTAACATCTTTTTCACAAATGAAACTTAACAAATTGTAAAATCTCTACCCTCCTACAACATTAATGCTCCAACCTACCTTTTTACACTCCCCAAACCTAGCACTTCTATATTCCTCAGTCCAGTTACTGAGGTTGAAGTTAAACGAGCAATAATGAAATTAAACAAATCTGCTTGTTTGGACATACAACTTAAGCTGTAGAAGGATTAAAGAAACCATACATCTTGGTCCATTGACTGTTCTTTTCAACCATTGCCTCTGTGAAGTACTATTTCTAGACATCTTTAAAACAATTAAAGTTATTCCCATATTTCAAAAGGGCGATCCAAATATTCCAGATTACTATAAACCCATATCTATCATTCCTATCTTTGGTCAAACTTTTGAGATGCTAATTAAAGACCGCTCAATTTCTTTTTAAAATGCTTATTCAGTACTTTAAGAAAAATCAATTCGTATTTAGGTCTAACAAATCGACAACCCAAGATGTGATAGCTATAGTTGATACCATAATAGAGAATATAGAAAAGGGTCTATGTGATCCAAGTGAAGTTTTTGACGGTGTAAGTCATGAACTCCTACTAGGTAAATTTTAATATTAAGGGATACGTGACAAGCTTTAGAGCTAATGAAAACCTACTAATATGTGAGAAAACAAGTTGTTTATACATCTGGAAATTGTAGCACATGTAGATTCATTTCGCACGGTGTACCACAAGATTCCATAATGGGACCAACTCTTTTTGTGGCATACATTAATGACATTTTTAAATTCTTACTTCCAAGCTTATCTTTTTGATATGCAGACGATGTATCAACGGTAGAAGCAGGCTCAAATGTTAACGACTTAATGGACCTATGTTCTAGAAGAGAAAATAATGCTTTAACTTGTTTACTTAAAATTATCTCAAAGTGAACAGGGATAAGACAACAAAAATTATAATATCATCAAATAGACAAGTAACGAAGAAGCAACGTGTAGATTTATTGGAGTTTAAAATTGATGACATGTTTAATTGGGAAACACATATTGCAGGTCTGTTCAAAAAACTTTCTACACAACTGTTCCTACTGAGACAGCTGAAAAAGTGTATTAGTATTACATACATGCTTTTCTCTTTTTAACAGTCACCTAACATTTACTAACAATAAGTACTTTCTTACCAATGCTGAGCTCCAAAATACAAATAATGAAATAATAAAATAACAACAAAAATTAATTGGCGGTCCGGGGCGCATTTGCTTTTTCAGCTGCAGGAAAACCCGAAAAAACCTGCAGCACCACATCATCTGAAGATCTTGATTTGTCAATATCCTCTCTGTCATAAAACAAAATGTAGGGTGTCTCCAGAGGCTCCAATAAATTCAATACATCGCCAGTACACTTAGTGACATGACTATCGTCAAACCAGTCCGTTTCGTCTTTGACCAGGGCATAATAATGACCAGATTTAACGATTCATCGCCAGAACCACAGTGAACAATGACTGCATGAAGATTATAATTGTGGTCTGCTTAATGGTTGAGTCATGTTTGAAGATCATCAGTGTTATGATTAGATTGACTCGTGCCTCAGCTATACTTGTTTTATTATAACAGACAGTTAGTTTGGCGCATGTTTGGCAATGCAATCGATCATCACCTGTTGAAAGTTCCATTTTCAGATGATTTATTAATAAGCTTTGCACGGACTGGTAATTAGTCATATCAGGAAACGCTAGTTGAAATTCCAGAAATTCACATACGTTTTTGCTATATCTTGAACATTTACTACAAAGTAAACAAGTGAGGATTTTTCCAGCAAAGAATTTACAAATACAAGACGAGATAGACTGTACGGAATCATTCAATCCTGAGCGGTTTGGAGTGTTGATTCTGCTATTGTTTTGCTCACGAAGAGTACTCAACAAAGACCCCAAGAATTCGGAACAATCCTCTTGTTGTCCTAACGAGTATCTAGTGGACTTCAAAGACTCCAGGAAATCGGTTGGAGGGATAGATGATATATTCTTAGGAAACTGCAGGTGCATGAACAGATGTTTGAGTTTGATGAATGAGTAGAAAACATTCTCGTTCTCGTTCATCACTGAAACCTCGTTCTTGAAATTCTTCGTCATGAACAACACTTGTGAAACGCTATTCATATAGAAGTGTTTCCTAAATTATCTAATCCAATTTTCTTCTCAAAATTTTCAGGACAACTCTCTACTAATTCGTAAGGAAAAACATGTTTCACAGAATCTGTATAAGAATCATTTCTCAAGCTACATATTATGGCATACTTTTATGGGGTCAGTCTTCACATGCAATTAAAGCCTTCCGTATGCAAAAAAGCAGAGAACACTGTCGTCCTTCATTTCAAGAACTTAACATTCAACCCTTGCACACACGTCCACACACACACGTTCCCGGACGAAGCGACTATTGCATAACATCCGTTGTTATGCTTAGGAGGAGACTGGTCTACTGCGCCGTAACGAAAACAAAGACCGAAAAAAAGAGAAGAAGAAGTTTTATAGTTCTTGACATTTGGTGTCATTCAAATTTACGCTTTTAATGTTTTAGTCAAGTTTTGTCAGAGAGTGTTTATAGGTTAACACGTGTTTCAACTTGTTATGTGAAATATTGTGAAACAATGTAAATTTGTAAAGCTCTCGACTATTAACGAATAGAAGATTAGTGGTACCTAACGTATTTTTTGTTGATGTTTGTTCGTATATCTATAGTTTCTTAGTGAGTTTTCAAAAAATGTCTTCAGCTTCTCAAAGGTCTACACGAACGGTACGAACTCCTTCATCAATTCTCAAAAAGCCCAGGAGCATCAAAAGTAGGCTAAGCGAACTACATTCTACACCAATCAAAGTTAGATTTGTATTACCGCATTCGCAGAAAGTCAACTCTATTCTTGAAGGGTACATTCAGTCCAAGGTATCCAGAGATTATGAAAATCTGGTGTGCCTGCTGCGGGATGCAGAATTGACTGATGATGATGTTTCCTCAATTCTTACAGAAGCAACTGAATGCATATCGATCCTCAATCAAAATTTGAGGCTATTTGTAGAAGCCTTACTATCCATACCTTGGACTGATAAAAGTCCTAAAGTGGTTTCAGAGTATCAGTCATTTATAGTTAATTTATTGTCGGCTCATAACTACCATGCTAAGATGGTTGTTGATAAGTTAGTGAAGTTATTTTTACCAGGTTAGTACCAAAACATATAATTTTTTGATTTTTGGTAATGTAAAAGCAATTTGCTCAGCAGGATATACAATAAAAAATTCAAAGGAGGGAAAACTGTTATTGTTTAATGAAATAAAATATTCCTTAAAATAATGAAATCATTAGCAAAAACACATAATTTTCAGATCCAACTGAACCAGATTGGCCTGAAGGAACCCCATCAAAAAAGGATCAAAATAAATTTGTGAATATTCATGCTTTGATTAAATTATTATTAAATGTTATACCAATGTAAGTATAGAAACAGATTTCTCATCAACAGTATACTAATTCTGTATTTTCAGGTGTAGAGAAATATTGATGTCTTCAGTAACAAGCCAGTTTCCTTATTATAATAAATCAACCCATATGCATGAGTATTATGTACATAATTTATTATGTATTTTGGAATATCAACCCTGTTTCCGACCTGACATCTTGAGTCTTTTGTTTTCCAAGTAAGCATGCATTTCAATTTATTCATTGTTTACAATGACATCATAATATGGACTGGCTATTGAAGAGTGAACATTGACTCCAACAACTCAAAATGGGATGGATAGATCCACATTTTGACATTACTTTTAGATGTCGCTATATTTTAGGTGTTGCATACTTTTGTTGTAAAAATTTTGGGGTTATGATAAATTTGTTACATCAGTTCTGAATAAATCGTCAATACCAAAAACAAAATTATGAGAAATATGAATTGAATGATTTGCTCTGCATCATTCCATTATTGTTTAATTAGGTACATGTTAACGACTACCAAGTATGCAACCCATATTAATGTTGACATAGTTACAAGCACGTACTTTTCTTTGCGCAGTGATGTCATTTCAAAAACTTTGTGTCATCTGCAGTATGTTGAAGTAACGTAACAGCAAGTCCATATTGTCATGTCTATAAGTAATCAGAATGTAGCTTCTAATGGTGAATTTATACACACTCAATTAGCAAGTGACAATCATGATAAGTTGAACTTATCGCTTTCCAATTGACACTTTTATGCAGAAAAATTAACAATTATCGAGTAAAAAGTGACGACTAAAAGATAGCGAACTTTCCAGTTTCTTACTTGAATTGTGCCAAATTTTTGCTAGTAGGTACTCATCTAGTGTGCAAATGATCGTTGATTGGTCCATTTAAGATCACAGACAGTAGAAATGAGGGAAACACAATATAGAATAAAGAAAATAACTTTTAACTAAGTGAATTATTTGTTACTCGTTTTATTAGACCTGTTTCGGGTACCTCTAATAGGATAAGGTCAGATACTGTACCTACCTTACCTAATAGGCCTTATCAGTGTATATTTTAAGTACTTGTTTCGCCTTTGATCAAATCTAATCAAAATATGCTTCATTACCCAAGATCTGAACATCTCCTTGGCAAAGTCTAGTAAAGCAAAACGTGTATATGGGACATTAAATTAACAAATATAAACTATAAAATAATGCTTTGAGACTAGAGCAGAGTATATGGACAGAACAATATTGAGCCTAGCTGAACAGATACAAATATAAGTACATGAATATATGAATATTCAGTAAATGTAAATATATAATGCTAAGTAATGAACATTGATAGCCATTTCATGTAGCTTTCAATAACTTGTTTACACAAAGCTACTCGATAGAGCCATAGTAGAATTCGTTCACACTATAATAGGGCCTCCTAACAAAGAATTCTCTTACTTTCTTTCTGAATTTCTTTTCATTATATATTCGCCTTAAATTAATGGGAAGGTGAATAAATAACTTCTTGCTATTGAAAATAATGGGCTAGAGTAGGTGTTGGAAGGGAAATGAAGTAAGGTGGTATTAAATTGATTTTTATATTTTTTGTGGATAAGACACACTGTTTCCAAAATAAAAAGACATACATAATAGTAGTGTCTAACTTTCTTGCATGACATCCTGCTGCTAGTCTTTTACATAAGTAGTCGACATGAGAATCAAATTTTAGATTTTCATTATTATTATTAGTCACTTGAAAATGGTCTAGTAAACAGAAACCGGATGTAACAAATAATGAACTTAGTAGATATTACACAAAAGTAATTTTCTTAATTCTATATTCAATATAAATTTCCACAAAATAAATGGGTCATCAATCAAACAAGTTAGATGTAATAGTCAATATTACAGATTTCTTTTTCTCCAATAGAAGCTCAAGCGCTTACCTACTATTTTATTGTGCCTTTTTAATCGGGAATGCATAAATGTCATCGTTTCTGTTACTTGCTTCTTGCTAATCAAGTGTGCATAAATTCATCTTGAACCTTATAAGTTAGATCCACAGAATTGTGAATGGTGTTCAATGAATCTGATTATTTTTTTGAAATACATTTATTGTTTACATATGCGATACTTCGGCTAGGTCAGCAAGTCTCATACCTCACTCGAAAGGATTTTCATTCTATAAAATATTGGTATACTTATACTGTTTCTTAATACTGAAAATTAATAATTCCTCATTAAAAATGCAAAACACTAGCAAAGGGCTGAAACTAAATTTTGTGATTTTGGTAAGATTTGCCACAGTTGGTGTAATTTGGTTAACAATATAAAGTTACTGAGTCACCCTTCCGTGGAATTCAATGATTGAAGCTTTTACAATTGCCTCAACTGAATTGTCTAATTTTCATATGTTCAATACATTTTCGACATTTTTCGCAATCGACGTTTTTTAAGGACTCTTTTGATACCTTTTATTTTTAATGTTGTATTTTCTTGCAACAAAAACCAAGGGGATTGACTTTGCAGACGAAAAATAATAAGATTTCGTTTCTGTTCCATTTGTCGACTACATATTCAAACATATTCAAGAAACACTTTATTGTGAGATTTTCACTAAACACTTTTACAAAAATGCAACACGTGTTTCGCCATACAATGGGGCGTGTCTTTACTAATTATATTCTACATATTCAATGCTTAATATACCTAATTTTACAATTTTAAGTACCTTAATTTCAAGTACCTAAATTTTACCGGCCATTTAATGTTTTATGTGTACCTGAGTTTGTAATGAATTAAATTACCTCACATCTTTCCAATGGTATATTCTTCTACAAGCCAAGTTTTGCCTCATGTCGAAACTCTCCTATCTGTTTTAAGTAATGTGTCATCCAGCAAATAAATTCATCAATTTCAATTGAGAGCAATTTTCTGTTTAGTTTTTCCCAGCTGAAATTTAATTCCTCAAAAGTTTTCCACAATTTATTTCTGTCTATAATGGGAGACGTACTTTGGTCTTTTCGATGATTTTGACAGTCATTTGCGAACACATATCCATGGTATACAAAAGATTTTGGTGTATGAGAGCTTCATATAAATTAAGAATAATAATAATCTTCTTGTTAACAGATAAAGTTCATTTGCTCATTCATTTTACTGGAGAGAAAACTGAAGTAACCATTTTAATTCATACACTAAGTATAGTCCAGTTCAAATATTGCCCATCAAAGGTTAGCAAATCAATTGTTGGAAATGTTACATTTTGACAAATGTTTGGTTTCAAACCACTAAATGCTCGAACTTCGTTCTGAACCAACCAATTCAAAATAATTTGTTTCAAATTCATTAAATTCTCTCAAAAACTGGGAGTAATTTTTCCAACCTTGAATTTACTTAATGGATAATATTTTTATTAAGAAAATTGAATCGAAATAATTTTGTACTCTCGTGAGTTTTCTTACTTTCCATTTATGCCACTTTTGCCGTACCTCAAAGACTGGTAACGAAACACTTAAAAATTGCCTGTACCGAACAAAAACCAGACTATTCCTAATAACTTGACTAATTCTGAATATGGATGTAATGTTGACAAAACTTCCATCAAACAGGCTCTTCTCACTACTCAGCCAATTGTCTGCCTTGATAGTATCTAGATCGATTGGACCAAATATGGATATATAGTGGACTGTAGGGTATTGTTGAATATTTACTAAATAACTTTACCTTTTATATATATTTTAATTCGACTTGTCAATACAATAACAACATAACATTGTTCCTCATAGCTACTTCGACAGATACTTTATAATTACAGTGGAGTACATTTGAGTAGGTGAGTAGTGAAACCAGAAAAATAGATGAATTTCAATAAACAATTCACTCATATTCTTCCCAACTCAGAGCACAAATATCTGCATAAGATGAATCCAAACTGTATGTTTCATCGTTTAACAAGAGGTCTATAGTTGGTTCATAATAATAATCATAGTTAATATTATACTGTGAAGCCCTCTTATGGTTTGAAGTCCCTGGTTGTTTAATATTTGTTCTTGTGCGGTTGCATCGTCCTGTATGTTTTTGTTTTAATTGAGATCCAATCGCTAGTTTTTTGTTGGTTTTCTGAATGGGATCATGATCACTTTCAGTTGATTTCTCAGGGAAAACTTTTTCTTCGCAATAGGGGCTTTTCTTAGGAAACTTCTTTTTTTTATTGTCAACATTCTTGTTGCTGCGGACCAAGTTTTTCTTTATTGCACCCGTTTCTTCAGAGCGTTTTTCTCCTGCTGTTGCTATTTTTTTAATAGCTCCTTCAGTTGCAGCAATCGTAATACCCAGTGGGTCATCGTGAATTTCTTTTGAAAGAGATATTTTTTTAAATTCCTTCTTACTGTTTTGTTTTGATTGACGTTCAACCTCTATTGTATTAGTTTTCGGAGTTGGTCTATGGATATTTTCAGCCGATTTGGAGAGATTTTCTTTGCGATGAGAACTCCTTTTAAAGGACTTCACTAATTCTTTATTAGTATCCTTGATACCATGAGCTAACACTCTCAAAGTCGCACATGTTTCTTCGGAATATTTTTCTAATGCTTTTGTTATCATGCCTTCAATGTCTCCTTTGAATGTAAAAGATATTTCTGTAGATTTTTTAATTTCATCCCTCAGCACGGTTATTTCACTTTTAAGATCCTCAATCTGCTTAAAGATTTTGGGTAGCTGCTTGGCCTCCGAATAACAGTCAGGGCATAAGTGAATCAGTGTTCTTGTTGGGCTAGATATGATGCTTATTTCTTGAGCCTGGTGATTATTACAAGTTTGACATATTGTTCTGAAGCACATGTCACAGGGAAAGCCAAACACACTGTGGTGTTCCTGATCTTTTTGTCTATCCTCTTTGAAAACACACCTTTGATTACATTTAAAACAATTTGATGTCGACATATTAGGTTATGATTACTTGGAAACTGATAATAGTTGGAGTTTTCTTCAATTTTCTGGGATCAAAATATTTTTAAATATTACACAAGAGCAGTGGAACTTTTTTTGTCACAGCCTTGAAAAATCAGTTCTTGATGACGTACTCCAACATCAACTCTGGAATGCACCTCATAAGAAATATTGTTTATTTAGTAATGACCTTGTTCAATTTCCTGCATATGCAATATAAAATACTCTTCCAAACTAGAATAGGGTCTATCCACAAATAGGTTCTTCACCGTCTTTTTGAAATGAATGTTGCTTAGATTTGCAGATCTCATTTCTAATGATAAATGATTGAACAACTTATCAACGTTATAGTATATGGAATCCTTGATAAAATTCGAAGTTGGGATGGGAAGTCTAAAGGTATAATTGCTATTATGAGTAGCATAAGAATAGAACAAAAGTTGAACTTCGATTTATGTTTATAAATAAGGCAAACCGTCTCTAGGATAAAAGTCCCATGACTGTTAAAATTTTATTCGTAGTGAACAAGTTTCTGCACGATTCTCTGGATTTTACTTTACAGAGACATTTAGTGTCCTCTTCTGTAATATCAATACAGAAGAGAGAAGGGACGAATTGCATGCTTCCCAACATAGTCGAGATTCAATAAGTGCATTGTAAACGGTCTTTGCGATATGGAAACCCAACTCATTTGAAACCACTGTGACTGCATAACATCCGGAAGAAATCTTACCCTTGAGTTGGTTTAGGTGTTCATCAAATTTTAGCTTATTATCAATGAATACACCAAGAAATTTTGTGTTTAATTTATTTTGTAATATGGCAGCGACTATTGGATTTTCATCAAGTGAACATTTGAATGATATTATATTTGTTTTGGATTCATTGAGAGAGAGAGAGAATTTGCATCACACCAGCTCTTCATCTTCAAGTCGGATGATAGATTTATTTGACTGTTTTACAATAAGTTTACAGCATGTCATATATCAAAAATGGTCATAGAGAGGCGTGCTATATATAAATCAATAAAAAAAACTTTGTTACATTTAGTTTTAAAAGGACAGCACAATATAGTATAACGTACACATTAAAAATATGTTGTAAAGTAACATACTTCACAAATATGAAATATATCAGTGAAGGATTATTGTTCAATATATTAATCGATAGATTATTAACTATTCAAAAATTCATTCATTGGACTATTTTACTGGCGCCTTATTTGGGGGACATCTTTTTAGGGGAAACAATTCGTTACAAGGTTATTGTAAGTACTAACCAACCAATCGGCAGATTTGTTAACATCGTTACCCAAATATTAAAAAAAAAATGCCAATTTGCTTTTCTTATCAGGTCACTGAACATTGCTATTGATTTTTTCGTCATCTCTCTTCTGTAATCTACTGTTGTTTGCGATCCGTTTAAAGGGACGCTTATGTATTGGCCCATGTGGTCTGACAGACAAGGATCATATATTCCTACGGTACGATTTCCGTCAATATCTGTAATTATGTTATCGATACAAGTTGCAGATTGGTAGGTAACTCTTGTATCTTCTTGAATAGTAACTTCTAAATCAATAGATTTTAAGAGGGATAAAAACAGTAATAATTCAGAAGATTTTGATTTAAAATTGATATTGAAGTCACCAGTTATTATTTTATTTAGCTCCACCGAGTTTTTTTCATTCCACAATATTGTAGTATCATCCGCGAATAGAGTGAAACTACCAGATATGTCAATCATAGAGATGTCATTCATATATAGCAGAAATAGAATAGGGTTTAACACAGAAACGTGTGGTACACCAGATTCAATGGCCCTGTTCTCTGAGAGTTCCGTTGTCCTCTCCATTTGATTCCGACCTGAAAGGTACGATTCGAACCAAGGGTTCGTTACACCTCTACATCCATATTTATGAAGTTTTTATAGTAAAATTTTTAATGCCAAACACTGAACTATTTTTGCAGGCTGAAGAAAGTTTAATGTAGTGAGTTGAAAATTGTAAGAAAGTTGAAATATGTATGGTTCAATGTACTTCATTTAGATTTTTTCCTTTTCAGAATGGTAAAAGGTACTCTGCAGCAACTGGCAGAATGGATACACTCGTATATATCTACCCAAGATGGCTTAGAATGCGTAAATTCTGATTTGAGAGTACACCAAGTGTTCTACAGTGTATGTCAGGCACTTTTCTATATTGTATCATTTCGACATAAAGATCTCGTCAAGTCCAAAAAAAGTAAGTAATTATTTTCTTTTTATTCCATTTCAAAAGTTTTGTCATTTAACTGTAATATATCGGTGAATACTTATTCAATTTAATCAAAATAAGCGTCATTTAAATCAGCGTACTTTTGCCAACATAACACGGCTCGATTGATTCCGTCAGCATAAAAATTGTATGATCGAGATTCGATGAAGACGACTATTCGATGATGACGAAGGCCGTTTTTGTCTGCTCCTGATTAGCGAAGGTTCCAACGGTGAGAAAGTTATCGAAGTGCTTGAAAAGATGTTAGTCAGTTGGTGAGATGTTTGGGGAGTATGGTGAGTCAGGCAGAACTTCGACGCTCAAATCGTTTGATTTTCGGACGGTGATTTGTGAAACGTGCGGACGGGCATTGCCGTGGAGCAGAATCGGACCTCCTATGTTAACCACTATCGTCTGCTGACTGCTGGTACATTTTATCGATTTCCTCACAATAGTACTCTGCTATGCAGAGTACTAGTTGCAGAAAGTTATAGTGAATCACATCAGCCGTTGACCAGTATACAGTAACCGGTGTCCAACCCCTGTTCTCAATGTCTCCTGTTGTCATAATTTCATCACAGGTGACGATCCAATCCAAAAAGGAACGTTTTGGTTGCGCGAGAACAAAAAAAAAACACCTCAAAACGTAACAATTTCAGATCGCGGGGCACCTACTTTCCGCAACATTTTAAACCATCAAAAACCGCATGGGAGCTGACGCCATGTCATGCACCGTTTCTGATGAATTAATTTCCTCCAGGGTCCCCAAATCCTCGTCTAGATTACTGTATGTCAACCACTTCGGGTTTATCTTCGAGGCTAAAATCTCCTGAACGAAATTTGGCAAACCAACGTCGAACAGTCCGTTCATTAACACCATCATTGCCAAATGCCTGGTTAACTTTTCAGGCTGTTTTGGCAGCGCTTTGATTCAATTTGAAATCGTAGAGAAAAATTGGCCGATAATCGCTCAACGACATCATATATAAGCTGAAAAGAAACAAAAAATGAAAATTTGGAAAAAAATGATCAGGATCAGTGTATAGAGTACAAAATTCTCTATCGATTAATTATTTTTTTTATTGGTTTAAATATGACAAATCCATTTGAAGTCAGAGTGACGTTGTTACCCATGTGATACACTAGTCAGCTTTCATCAAAAAGGCTTATTAATCCCTTAGATATATAGCAAAATAATTTACTTCATATTGTTTTTTTTATAGGTCTAAATAAAAGTATGTCGTGCCATATGTCTACCTTATAAGGATAACTTACTATACTAATTTTAATGTTTGAAATTTTCAAAAATTGTTCGCTTCAGATCTTTAGAGGCATAAACAGTATTTACGCTGTGCGTATAACGAGATCTCAGCAACGACTGCAACTACTACGAGATGTAACTTTCGTCCTCGAAGTCAACGCACATACCACTGGAGATGTATGCCGCAGCGACAAACGAAACGTTTTGTACTTCTGGCTACATTCGACTACGGCCCACCAGCCCAGATTTTGTTCTATTTAATCGTGACTACGGCTGTGAAAACCAATGTTCTTATATTTGCTCAAGTGATTTTTTCTTGTAGAAGATAAACAATAACGAGTTTAAAATGAAATGCTATCGTTTTGAGCCCTTGAAATTAACACTTACCTATTGCAAAAGATGTATGAACATTCATTTCAAAAATCTGACATAGGGTAGCGAAGTTTAAAAAATCCTAGTCCCAAATTCAAGCACCAATGAATTCGCAACTAGTTATCAAAATTAAAAAAAGTGAAGGTCATTGTCTGATTTAATGTTATGTGTTTTTGTGGCTNAAAGCAGGAATGCGGAAAAATAGTGAAAATATAAAATACTTATTATGGGTTTGAAACTTGGTGTGTGGGTATAAAATTACAAAAGAAAATGTTTTTATCCTTTGATATTTTTGGATATTTTGAAGAATAATGTCATTTTTCGATGTTTCTTTTTTTAAATGTCAATTTTGACAGGTTAAGGAAATCACGTGACCTATTTTGTAGACGCCATTTGACAATAGAGCCCAAACTGATGTTATTTACACAGACTTTTCTAAGGCCTTCGACAGGCTTGACCATGGCATTCTACTAAACAAACTAGTAGCCTTTGGATTATCTCCATCCTTGATCGCACTCTTTCAGTCCTATCTACGGGATCGAAAACAATATGTTCAGCTCAATGGTTTCAAATCTACCAATTATGTTATGTTGATAATTCTGTCAAATACAGATCCCGAGCTTGAGAGTTACAAGCATACATAAGTACATACATACAGGTGAAGCTAATATGAAGCGTGTAAAAATAATTGTTATTCATTCAGTTCAATCTCTCCAGTGTTACAGAGTGTAACTACTCATATATACTTTACTTAATATTACTGTATTTCATTGTCAAGAGAAGCTACCTGTTTATGAATAAATAATTATTTGGGGTGATGTGTTATTACTATCAGTCAAGGTGTATTTTCAAATCTAGAGGCTAAACTAGAAATATACTTTCAATACTCCAACGATAAAACATTGAAAATAATTTGTTTTTCAGATTGATAATCATGGATGTGAATGCTCCAAGAGAAGAAATTGAAAAATTCCTCAATGCCGACGAAGAAATGTTCTCAATGGACGATGATGCCAAGTCCGTTAAGACATCAACAACAGCTTTCACTCAAGTCGACCGCCATGCCTTATCTCACGCTTTAGACATTTGCTTGGAGAAAGTTTTCAATTACTTCAAATCCAAATGCTACGATAGTAACTCTGGTGAACCAAATTGGGAACAAACCAAAAAACTATACCACGACATGATTGTGATTTTTGAAAAAATCATCCTACCTACTTATGATACTCACCACGTTCAGTTTATAATGTTTTTGTTGTGTTCTTACAATATTGCGGTGACAGAAGCTTTCTTGAATTTCTTGTGGAAGAAAGTTTGTAACCCTAATGTAGCCCCCGTCCTTCGTCAAGCATCTGTGAATTATATTGCCAGTTTACTAGCCAGAGCAAATTTTATACCATTGACGTAAGTACATTTTTTTAACGAGAATATGATAAAACTGACCGATACTTGATGAAAATCAATTATAACATATTCAAAAAACACACTTTAATGTGAGATTTCCACTGGACAGTTTTAAAAACCGAGACATGTGTTTCGGTATACAACAGCACCTTCAGGCGTCACAATACAGTTTTTATTTAAATTGCAATGTTAATCACCTGCAGTTATTCTCAATCCATAAGCATTTACCTTGGATAACAATGCATGATTAGTTAAATGGACATCACAAGATGGCGGGAAAATTTTTTATGCACTCCCACGACATTGGTATCAAATGATGGGGTTCAAATGCGGAAACCAAGATGGCCGATATACCAATTTTAAAGAATTATAACTCTGAAAAGGTTTGAGATAGATTGGTGGCGCTTGAACAAATGTTATAGGAGTCGACCATGCAATAATGATCCATGAAATAAAGTGAACAGACTAAGGAATATGTCCAGTGATAACTATATCAAAGAGAATTAAGAAATCCATCAATTTATTACATTACACAATTTATATGATATAAAAGCTTATTGGGACATTTATTTAGGTAGTTGAACAAGAGTATGATATATTGAACAAAAGTCATTTTTTGTGGAGGAAATTAGAGTTTTTTATCAACCTTCTTTGGAGATTTTCACCTGCCACAATATGAAAACGGTATTGGATAACTTCATACATGTGTATAAAGGACAAACTTGTTAGTTCTCCCCCATAAGTTGCTGCGTGAACTCAAAATATTTTTCACAAAGGAAAATGTTTTATTTATCAGTTACTTGTCGTACAATTTTGCCTATCAAAAAAAGGGCTAAGAAATTATACAGATACTTATCTTAACGTTTTGTAAGCTAAAATCTGCAATTATNAGAAATGTAATATTGCCAATAAATTGAAATATAAAAATGATGAAAAAAATATATAGTTTTCACATCTCTCATTTTCCGTTTATCTGTCAGATTTTTTTTATAATGCCAAACACTGAACTATTTTTGCAGGCTGAAGAAAGTTTAATGTAGTGAGTTGAAAATTGTAAGAAAGTTGAAATATGTATGGTTCAATGTACTTCATTTAGATTTTTTCCTTTTCAGAATGGTAAAAGGTACTCTATAATATTGTTGTAAACCATTTCCTTAGATACGGACATCAAGTGATGCTTTTGAAGAATATTTATATTTAGACATACGTGAGGCTAACCATTTCTGTACATAATTGTTAGGATGTATTTGAATTTAGGAACAAATAGCAAAATCGTAGAATAGATAGTTTTTGTGATATTGAAGTTGAAAATTTGTAGTTATGAAAATTGAGAGTTGGTAACTAAGGAAAGTAAGAGATTTTCAACTTTTTTATCAACAACGGGATTCTACTCAAGGCGACGAAGGTGAACGCCACAAAAATTTTTGTCTCCAAAAATTGAATAATATCATAATAGAAAAGTTAGAAAATTCAATATGAATGTATTGAATACTAATAATTAGAAGTAAATATAGTGAAAACCAACCTGATAAACCAGATCCAGTCCAATTTCCAGTTCCAAAGGTTAGAAAACCCACACCACACAAAAACATTGGAGGAAAACCAGGTATTTACCTATTCCACTTCAAGTATAAAATATAAAAAAAAATGACCAAGAACAAAAAACGGGACAATTGAATCAAATATTGAATCCGGAAATTTCGATTGCAAAACAAGTCACAGTGACACTGAATTATTAACTGACATTTCACAGACAAATAGTGCGTTCTGATATTCACAATAATTGGTTCGGTGTAGGCTTGGAACATTTTTAGAATTAGTTAATTTTCTCTTTTGATAATTTATATATTTTGAATTTAACGCGCTGCAGAAACAGGCTTTTGGTAGTGATAGTGTTAATGAACGCACTGTTCGACGTTGTTTTGCAAAATTTCGTTCCTGAGATTTTAGCCTGGAAGATGAGCTCCAAAGTGGTCGACCTATAGTAATCCAGGACGAAGATTTAGGGACCCTGGTGGAGGCTGACCCATCACAAACGGTGGGTGAGATGGAGGAAGAACTGGGCGTTAGCTTCCATGCGGTTATTTTATGGGCTAAAGATAGATAGATAGATAGATAGATAGATAGATAGATATCCTTTATTCTTTGTAATAAAAAACCTTTTCAGGTGTAGAACATGTCAATTATAGTAAACATTACAGAAGTAGTAGAAAATCATGAGGCAGTATCATTAATATTGGTTAAGAATATAAATGGCCACAGATGTATGAGTAACAAGGTTATCACAGTCAATATACTTAATGTAATATCATATTAGATACAGAACACGAACATATACATCTATATGTAGGGTTCAAAAGAGACTTAACTACATCACAATGCAGAATGATAAGACATGAAATATTCAAAGCGAACAATATCAGTTCAAATTATAATTGAAAAATTCTTCCAGCTAATAATAAGCTTTGGAGAGAAGCAAAGTTTTCAATTTATTCTTCATGATCATAGAAGACAAAGTTCTGAGAGATTCATCAACAACTTCAGGCACATTGTTAGTGCAAAGAATGTAGTAATGGGCCCCACACTGACCCCTGGGGTACACCTCTTACGATATATAGCATTTCCGATTTCATCAGATTTCCATCAGTATCCCTTTCAGTAACACATTGCTGTCTATTTTTCAAATAGGACGTAATTAGTTCGAGTGGCAGCCCTCTGATACCGTAGAACGACAGTTTTGTGATCTATAGTCTATGGTCAACACTGTCAAAAGCCTTGGACAAGTCCAGATTGACAGCTGTTGTAGCCTTTTTACTATTGATAGATTCTTTAGAATTAGTAAATTTTCTCTTTTGATAATTTATATATTTTGAATTTAACATTTTTATATTTCTTATTAACCAACGCGCTGCAAAAACAGGCATTTGGTAGTGATAGTGTTGATGAACGCACTGTTCGACGTTGTTTTGCAAAATTTCGTTTCTGAGATCTTAGCATCGAAGATGAGCTCCGCAGTGGTCGACCTATAGTAATCCAGGATCCTGGTGGAGGCTGACCCATCACAAACGGTGGTTGAGATGGCAGTAGAACTGGGTGTTAGCTTCCATGCGTTTTTTTTTATGGACTAAAGATAGATAGATATCCTTTATTCTTTGTAATAAAAAACCTTTTCGGGTGTAGAACATGTCAATTACAGTAAACATTACAGAAGTAGTAGAAAATCATGATGTAGTATCATTGCTATTGGTTAAGAATATAAATGGCCGCAGATGTATGAGTAACAAGGCTATCACAGTCAATATACTTAATGTAATATTGTATTAGATACAGAACACGAACATATACATCTATATGTAGGGTTCAAAAGAGACTAAATTACATCACAATGCAGAATGATACGACATGAAATATTCAAAGCGAACAATATCAGTTCAAATTATAATTGAAGAATTCTTCCAGCTAATAATAAGCTTTGGAGAGAAGCAAAGTTTTGAATTTATTCTTCATGATCATAGAAGACAGAGTTTTGAGAGATTCATCAACAACTTCAGGCACATTGTTAGTGCAAAGAATGTAGTAATGGGCCCAATACTGACCCCTGGGGTACACCTCTTACGATATATAGCATTTCTGATTTCATTAGATTTTCAAATAGGACGTAATTAGTTCGAGTGGCAGCCCTCTGATACCGTAGAAAGACAGTTTTGTGATCTATAGTCTATGGTCAACACTGTCAAAAGCCTTGGACAAGTCCAGATTGACAGCTGTTGTAGCCTTTTTACTATTGATTGATTCAATTACCTTACATAGAGCTTGATAGTTAGCTCGAGTAGTAGATTTTCTTCTAAAACCATTCTGAATATCAGTAAGAAGATTATTATTCTCTAGATATGTTATCAGTCTATTGTATATTATTTTTTCAAAGATTTGACTAACATTTGACAATATTGCAATGGGCTTATATTTGATTATTTCATGTTTATTTCCCTTTTTGAAGATAGCTTTGACATGCGCAATTTTAAGATTATCAGGAAAAATACCTTTATTACACTATTCAAAGCTGTGTAATAAAGTACAGATTCACCTCATTTAAAGCTAGTGTGTTATTAGTTTCATCTGGAGAAATGTTTTCCGATATTGACATAGGTGTCTAAGTGTCCGAACTAGTAATAGATTTGACCAGATTCCATACTGCCTTGGACTTATTAGTGGACGTTTGAATGTAATTTTTATTACAGCGTTGGAAAGGTCAGACAGCTCGAAAAGTGGGTTCCCCACAGATTGAACAATCAACAGGGATTGTCACGTTTTTATGTTTGTACGTCGTTGCTTTTGCGCAACCAAAACAATCCTTTTTTGGATCGGATCGTCATGTGTGACAAAAAGTGGATCCTCTATGACAACAGGAGGCGTTTAGGACAGTGGTTGGACACCAATGAGCCACCCAGGCACTTTCCAAAGGCGAAAACCCACCAAAAAAAGAGCATGGTTACTGCTAGTGGTCAGCGGCTGGTGGTCACCATACGAATATTAAACGAATTGAGCGCTGAAGTTCTGCCTCACCCACGATACTCCCCAGACCTGTCGACAACAGATTATGATTTTTTCAAGCAGTTCGATAACTTTTAGCTCCTTCGCCAATCAGGACTAGACAAAAACGGCCTTCGACGATTTCGATCATCGAATCCCGAGCACGAACTTTTTCTACTGGCGGAATTGATTGACTTGTGATAGGTTGGCAGAAGTGCACTGATTCAAATGGCACTTATTTTGAATAAATTAAATAAATATTTATTGAGATATTACAGTTCATTGTAGACTCATAAAAGTTTTGAAACAACCTATTATATTACTCGATCTTAATACGAGTAATTCTGAGATTTTTTTTCATAAACNTATTTGAACTGTTATAAACAATGGAAAACTCGAATATTTTTTCTATGAGCAAGTAGTTGAATTTAGATATGTTTTCAAGTGGAAATATATCAGTAACTTTTTTGTTTACCAATATCATGGTACCTCCATGTGTAGTAATCTGGCGGTTGAATCTGGATGCAACAATATAGTTAGGTACGAAACAGGGTTCCTCCATATTCAGCCAGTGTTCAGTGACCAGGACCAGGTTTGGCCAATTTAGAGATTCAGCGATTCAGCGTTTTGTACTTCTGACTACATTCGACTACGGCCCACCAGCCCAGATTTTGTTCTATTTAATCGTGACTTCGGCTGTGAAAACCAATGTTCTTATATTTGCTCAAGTGATTTTTTCTTGAAGAAGATAAATAATAACGAGTTTAAAATGAAATGCTATCATTTTGAGCCCTTGAAATTAACACTTACCTATTGCAAAAGATGTATGAACATTCATTTCAAAAATCTGACATAGGGTAGCGAAGTTTAAAAAATCCTAGTCCCAAATTCAAGCACCAATGAATTCGCAACTAGTTATCAAAATTAAAAAAAGTGAAGGTCATTGTCTGATTTAATGTTATGTGTTTTTGTGGCTCCATCACTCAAAAAATATTTATTCTACTTTGTCTTGGTATATATTATTCAATGGAGAATTTTGTTCTCTATACTTTGATACATTTTTCTTTACGAATTCAAATCGAATCGGAGCGCTGCCGAAACAGACCAAAAAATTAACCAAGCATTTGGCAATGACAGTATTAATGAACCTACAGTAATTCAGGACGAGGATTTGAAGAGCTTGTTGGAGACTAACTAATCACAAACGGTTCGTTGGATAGTGGAAGAACTGGACCTCAGCTCCCATGCAGTTTCTGATGGTTTGAAACGTAATGGAGAGGTCTGTTCTTTGCTTTTGGACGAACAAAACAATCCCTTTTTGGATCGGATCGTCACCTGTGATGAAAAGTGGATCTTTTATGACAACAGGAGACATACAGGATAGTAGTTGGACACCTGTGCCGCCCAGGCACTTCCCAAAGGCAAAAATCCACCAAAAAATGACCTTGGTTACTGTCAGCGGCTGGTGTTATTTACTATAATTTTCTGCAACCGGGCCCAACCGTCTCAGTACAGTTCTTTTGTGGAAATCGACTAAATGTACCGAAAATTGTGTCAGCAGCAGCTGGCACTGGTCATCAGAAGAGGTTCGATCCTACTCCACGATAAGGCCTCCCGTTTGTTTCACGAATCACAGTCTGAAATCGAAACAAATAGAGTATCAAAGTTCTCTCCATACTCTCCAGTTCTCTTGCCAACCGACTACCATCTTTTCAAGCACTTCGATAACTCTCTCATTGGTAGAACCTTCACAAATCAGGACCAGCCTTCGTCGACTTCTTCGAATCCCGAGCATTGTTGTGCTCGGGATTCGAGAACAACATTAGTTCGGACTTCTATTATCTGATTATATAAAATGATTTGAAATTCCTGAAAGAACTAATAAAAAA